CACCATTTAGCTGCACTGAACTTTAGAAAAGCATTCCTCAGCCAAAGAAGCACATTGTTCCAGGGATTCTGTGACAGGCGGATTGGTTTGTGAGGTATGAGCAGGTTATATAAGCCATGTATCTCATTTCAAAACAGCCTCTCAAAGGGTTGCTCAACAATATGTTAGTTCAGGAGCTCCATCTGCCTTGTTTGTGATCAGGAAAGGTACTCATGATCAGATTTAGGAACTTTGGTTTTTACGTCTCCTTTTAGCAAAATACATTTTCATAATCCAGTATTTCATAATGTATTAATAAGTACAATTTACAATTCTTCTTTAATAATTCCCTTTAAAAGGTGCAATTAGAAACTACCTTTCAAATTGCATGATTTAAATGTTAATTTCTTTTTCAGTGACTCTGTAGGTCCTCAATACATAACATGTTAATCAACAAGTACTGTATTCTTTAGACAATGAATCTCAAACTGATTTCTAACATCAAAATATTTTTTTTTGTGATTTCCTACATGATCTCTTATATTCTTCCCATCACACAGCAGGGGAAAAAAGAAACATACCTAAACAAAGTCTCCATGTTGTGTGGCTTGTCGTTTGACATGCAACCACTATCCGGACTTAAAGGTCAGCAGAGATTAACAGAGAGGATGAGGAGCTAGAGGAGAGGGTCTCTTTCACATACAGGTGGCTCTACAGGATGTTTATCTCACCAGACTCATATCACTTCTCTTCCAAATTAGAGTTCAGTTCATGTCAGACCCTCTGATATTTAAATGGGTGACCCTAATAATCCAAAGAGGCTCTGTATGTTCAGTTTGCTGTTGAGTTCAGTGAGGGTTTCACTCTTCCTTTTACAGGAATCCAGGGTGAAGCTTTTTGAGCTGGAGAACTGTTTGAAGCCAACACTTTTCCAGATGTTTAAAGATTTAAAAAAGGCAAAGAATGAATATTTCAGCTGGATTGGATTCATCTCTGTTCAGGCCTCACAAACGAACCAAAAATAACTTTTAAACTGACACGTAAAATTTTCTTAGTGTGAAAGATTATACACACGACAAGACCGCCAGTGGAATTTCTGGCTCTGTCTTCACATAAATTCCAGACAGGACGTGTTTCTAGAGAATGGACATGTGGGAATTTAAACAGGGCTGCTCAGTGTAGACAGATATGTGTACATTCTGTATCCTCAAACTTTCTCATACCTGCTCAGCGCAGTCGTAAAAACATGATATGAACCCTCTGAAGTGACATCAAACACGCCTGAAAACCATTTAGCGCTGAAAGGCCTCTGGCAGCTCCGACTTCTCATGCTATTTGCCAGAGATCGGTATCACCTCAGACACAGCCATGAAAGCAACCTCATTATTGCACTTTTTTTTAATTTGCAATTGCATTTTTAAATCGTTTAAATATATCATTTGGGTTTTCCTGTTCCTAAGATTAGAATTTGTTCCAGAGCTTCAATAAATTAATTTAGCTTGATAGTTAGAATGCATCTGCATGATGGGAATGTCCCTGAAGCCAGAATTCATTCTGGGAGATTCCCACAGGCCAACATGGGCAATTCCCCATTTCCAATTTGTCCACAGGGTCCTGAATTTAGAGTGTAGTATTTCCCCAGCTCACCAAAGAACATAAAATATTTTTTTCTTTTTTAATTAATGATCATCCTTCGTCTTTAATTTCTTTAATCAAACATAGACGTGTTAAAACCATTTGAACAAAGTTTTGTTTCAATCCACTGGCATTTTTACAAGCAGGAAACGTAGATGTGTATGTTTTCTAAAAGTATTTTCCTAATGAGCGACTTCTAGGTTTGGACTGACTGTATGAATGGAAAGCAAAGACATCAATAAAATCTTTTCCTTCTGTCTATTCTGTTTCCATGCTGCTATTTCATAGTAGATTCACTGAAACCAATGCTATATAAAATATAACTAAAACCAAACCCCTTAATCTTTATGCAACATCTTTATAGAGAAACTGAGTAATACCAATAACAATCAAAAAACAATACTTATCCATGGTGCAGATTCACGTGGACCAATTGATATACAGGACTTTAAATGATTAAGGTTTATGAGTTGTGTAAATGTATTCTTTCCAGAATCAGAACAGAGATACGAACACGCCTGTGTTTTGGTCTTCCTGTTTGCCTGACAGAGACATTTGCTTACCTTTCATTCCTTACTGCAAAAACTATCTAGAAATTAAGTAAATTTTCCCCTGATTTGAGTATTTATATAAGATGATTTGCCAATGAAAGGAGTATATTTACTCTCTAAATAGATAATTAGAAAATATGCACTTGAAATAAGATAATGCAATTGTTTTTTTCTTATTTTACATGTAAATTGTCTTGCTACATTGGCAAAGTGTTTCAATTACCTCCTCAATTCAGGAAAAAATGCACTTATTTTAAGAAAAAGGACTTAGATTTACATTGTTTGCAGCTCTTTCACAGCTAAGAGGGTCACTAGAAACAATTTCAATAAACAAAGAGACAAAGTAGTCCTTGAGTAATCAGATGTGTACTGGACAGGCCAATCATAAGAGCCAGGGTGTATCTACAGTACCACGCAAAACACAAAAACACATCATCAGTGATCGACAGGCTTTCAGGCACCTACAGGCCAACCTGGCAGGAGTAGATCTGATTTGCTCCACGCCTCATCGACAACAAACACATGTAGAACACATGAAAACAAACAATATGCAAAGATAACAGCAGACCTAGCAGTCGTAACTTAAGTTTCACATTTTAAATACCCAGATGGCCTACCAAAGATTTTCATACTTACTGTTTCAGTCTTTTAGACAAGTATATTTACTTATAAATAAGAGTAATTTAAGTACTCTGACATCTGTGGTACTTACACACAAGCTCAATAGCAAGCAAATAGGACTCTTTAGATGAAGGAGATGTGAGTAGGCCATCGCCATGATACTGGAGGTGCTGTTTGGATAGTGCTGGGAGTAAAGCAGGAGCTACGAAAAGGAGCCTGATGCTTCCTATCATAACACCTTTAGCATAGGAATCTCATAACATTCCTATTTAGTGCTAAGTAGCTACCGGTAATAGAAATCCCACAATCCTTTGTGTGTCATAATATATAAGCACAGTCCACCACCTTGAAATGAAGAAATTAGCTTTAAACATTAAAATGTACGCAGCTTCATATCTTTTAGTCTGTATAATGGAGAGCTTCAGTTGTGTACTACATTTTTACATCTTGATTTTGGTTGTTTTTTTTCCCTGAAGGCTTGACTATTATCAATGTGTGTTCCATAGGGTAATTATGTCCAGAAAGATAAAGACAGATCCTAGATAAAGCATAATAAAGTATAATTGAATTGAATCCTAGTATGAAGCAGCTTAGACACTAATCTTCAGGCAGGCGTTACGTAGCGCAATCTGCAAAAACAAGCAGCAACAAAAAATATATCTTTCCGAATGTATGTCTCTAATAAACAATACAGCTTTGGAAATAAATAGGAATGTTTTAACTAACACAAAAATAAATATATGTAAATGTACATACCGCTGCTTATCCTGTTTTATTTCCCAAAAAGCTTCTTTTTTTGTGTGTGCAACAAACTTGGCCAAAAGTGTTTATTCTGATATGATTTCCAAAAACTCATAATTCAAAAACAAATTCAACATAAATGCTTATTTATTTTTATTTTTTTTTTTACTTTATTTCTGATCGTTTTTGACTACATGTCACTTTCCAACAATTGGAAGCATTCTAATAATTAACAGTATACTTGAGGTAAATCAGAATGCCTATTTTAATTAGATCACATTATTGTTTGCAGAAATAGGAAACATTTTAAAATGTGAAAATTAAAAGAATATCTGTTTGCATGTTGCAGTTTGTCTCTTTGTCCTTTATTGTCAGGAAATGGCTATAAGCAATCAGCAGCTCATCTACAGTTTGAGTAATAATTAGAAGGCTAGATAGAAAAAAAAGTAAATGTCGCTTTTGTTCCTTTTTCTAAGTCTAAATAAGAGCCCCACTCTGGAAACACTACATAAGAAAATCATTTTTATCATGCCTGTTTGCAAGGTCTTGATATCATATACTTTTTTCACCCTTTTAATCTTGTATATTCATTATTTTCATTATATTAACAGGTTTGAATTTACTGTAAAAGACACGTCATCATTTAGAACATAAAAATATGCAGCATAGTTAAAGGACACGCAGCACTCAAGCATCCATGTAAAATAATATCTTTATTATGATCATATTTTTCTCCGGATCAATACAAAGAATATCAGTTTAGTTTGGAGGCGCCGTCAGTGTTGCATTTTCTTCTCAAAAGGACAAAGAGGACGAGACAGAGACAAATATCGAACATATAATGCAGCACAGGATAGCTACATTTGTAAGTTAGTTCGGCTTAAATGTTTCTTGAATTACAATCTGTATGTTTTAAACAAAAGTACTCAAATACACAACTGATCTTGAAAGTGTGGTTTATTTGCATGCAGATGGTGTAAAAGCAAACCCTACATAGGAGGTCTTATAAGATCCCCCAAATAGGGTAGCATGCAACTAGGATGGTTAGAGCTGTATACATCCACTAAAACCCCACTTTAAAGGTTTAGGTCAAATTTTTTTTTGTACTTTTGCCTGCAACCTAAATGGTCAACATTATAGAAAAATTTATTTGGTTGGCATTTTTCCTAATTATTCATGTCAATGCTGTTAGGTTTATATAGAAGATATTTCAGGCTGTAACAGTAAGCTGATTAACTTCCATTTTTCAACAATATTATTTGTTTTGTTTTTGTTTTTTACACAGTACACAAAAAAATAGAAAATGCCTGTGACCCTAAGTATTGTTGGTAATCAATTTGTTCTGATTAAGTCACATTTACTATATATATCTATATCTAT